GATCGCCTTGGAGTGGGCTCGCGCTTCGAATGCTAGTCCGGAAATTTTGCGACTGTTGACGCCTTCAGTATGGCCTTCTGGACATGTACGTGCACGTTCCCGGCAAGATTCATAGGAGAGAAGTCAGCCAGATGAGCCTGAGGTCGCGAGATCATCACCTTTTTCTCCACGCAGCGGGAAATCTTTATAAAGTTTGCGTGCAAGCTTGGCTGGATCGAGGAGCTGACACGTCTTATGGCGCTCCGTGGGAGCCTCACAAGTCGGCTTTCACGTGGACGGAGGAGGCTCAGGGGTACGAGGATCTGCTTTCAATGCTGAGTGCTCCAGGGGGGGAAAGGTGCCTGTTCGACCAGCAACCTTCTTATTGTTTCTCAGTTCCAGAGGTGGCGGCTCAGCGCGGGGATATTGTTTCCTTTTCCGACTTCTGGTCGCTTGGGGCAGATGATCAAGGTCGCGGTGCTGCGGTGGCTTCGGCGGCCCTGAGGGGTGACTTGGCGATGTTGAAGGACATCTGCTGCTACAACGGGCATAAAAACCTGGTGTCTGAACTTTTGAAGGTCGGCGCTCCAGATGAGAGTAGTCCTTAGTTTACTTTCAGAACAGTCGGCGTTGCTCACCATCCGCGTGTGTCCTCGTGGCCTTTGCGGGCTCTCTTAGAAGCTCTTGTTCTGTCGGGATTGGTCGCAGGCCGGCAGAAGGACAGTATTATCGAGTGTCAGACATTGCTGAGAACACGACCACGATTGCGTGTTGTGGGTTCACCATTCTGTCATTTTGTTTCGCCCTCCGCAAGTGCAATCCCTGGAATGGTTACTTTGTGAAGAGTTCTGAAGGCGGTTCAGTTTGTCGATGCGCGACCCGGGATGGGGAGATGCGGCGGACTGACTGAAAATTCCCGCGAGGACTGGTTCGAGGTGCTCTTCTGGCGATGCGGTCTAACGATCGGGAATTGTTTCCGTCGAGTGCTGGCTGGTTTGGGTTCGCCTGTACGTTCTCGGAACAAAAAAGCTGCTGCTGCGTGCTCATACGCTATCTGTCTAGTATAACACTTAAGCTTGGGTGAAACTACACACGTGGGGTTCCTTGGTCCTTCTTTTTTTTTGACCGCCAAGCAAACTTACAAACAATACAATTGCGTATTTTCTGGCTGTATCGCGTAGTTCGATAGAACAGATCGGAATATGTTCCTTGATTACCTGCTACGCCAGGTTATGTTAAGGTTGAATACTCTGGTAGCCATGTACGCAGGTTGCGATCGCTGTCAGTCCCGAAAAACCATGCAAATGGCATTGGTTTCACGGCTCAATGCACATTAGTGGCTTCAAACGTAATATGAAATTGCAAATGCAAAGATGCAGGTTTGATATGTTTGCGAAGACACCTATTTTATGTGCAAGTTTTTTGTGTCGTGTGCAGCGCAAAGTTCCGTTGAATAATCGTGCGTAGCAATTTTTGTTTTTGGAAGTATAGATCTTTAGCATGGGCTTTTAACCTCCAGTTTGAAGTTGCTTTTTGGTATTCCGGCTAAATCTTACAGACCCACTATGGACCCATAGTCAAGATTCAGGAAACAGGCAAGGTCCCATTTTTAGGGGCCATGGTTAGGACGTAAATTCTTGCATTGCGGCAGTCCAAGGTAATTTGTGAAGGTTTGAGTATTCGTTGGCATTTGTTGGTAAAAAGATGAGCAAGGTGCATCCCCATCTTTATCAACGACAATGACGTGTGCATGTTTGTGATTTGGCAACTCTGCAGGATTAGAACCGAGACTGTCGGAGACAGAAAATCTTGTCAAAGTGCAAGGCGAGAGTGACGAGAGGATCGCATGTATTGCTTTTGCTTCGCAATGTAGCTGGCCTCTGAGTATGGGTTTGGCACGCTGCGATTCTCACATTTATTATGTTTTGTGTTCAGGTGACGACGTAATTAATTTGCGGCTTCTTTCATTCGCGCCCAAGATGCAGTTCATGAACATGTGTTACACAGCTTCAAACTCATGGCATTGCATCGGATATCAAGTTTTAGCTGTCTGAGCAACATGTTCGGACAATTCAATATGCCAACATCCAACATTGTAGCGTTCGTAGCATGTTACGACCAGCATGCAGCATAATCTTCTTGTTATTCCTCCGAATGCCAATGGCACTGAAGATGCAATGGAGTTTTGAACAGGTTTTTGTCAAACAATAAGTTGGCTTAGCCTGATGAACAAAGCAAACATGAGACTTGTTCGTTTCATGCAATGAAAGTTGTCTTCCTGGCATTGCCAGTGCTGCCGGATTCAGCGGTTTTCGCTGAGCCCATCAGCCAGCAAAATGTTGTGGCCTGAGTCGTTCAAGAATTCAGTGTTCCATTGTATTTCGGTTTCTTAATTCAGCATCTGCATACACAATGCATGTCTGGTAGGCCAGCTTCGTGTTGAGAGGGCCTTCCATTCATCATGTCGCACATGTCCTATGTGCAGTTGCATGTGCTATGCCCGCATGGAGCACCTATCACGATAAGCTAGCACCACTGTGTTTACATGGCTCCGTCTTGTTGTCGGTTTGGTGTGCGAAAACTTTCGGAAGAATGCACATGTCATGCTTGTTCCCGCAAAACGAAGCTGGAGGCCTTGCAATTCTTCCGCCACGCGGAGGAAGACGCCGTTTTGTTCTGCAGTTGCATGCCTGGTGCCACAGTTATGCATTCAACACGACCCACGAAGGGCCAAGAAACTTGAAGTGTACGTGAACTAACCATTGCCCCCTGTCAAGCTTCTGTTTCAGATGATTTGAATGTTTGTGTGTGTGTCAATGGCAGGGTTGGCGCTGCAAGACGCGAATGTTCTCCGGCTTGAATCTGCCAGACGAGCTTGAGATGGTAGAAAAACTGCAGCAGGCCTGCACTTGCTCCGTTAGGATGAGCTGGGGTAGCATCGTAAGATATCTTTTAGCACCTTCTGCCTCAAGAAGGTTGTTTCAGCCATCATATCACGGGCAGCCAACCTGTCGTTGTTTGTGCATGCCCGCAAAGCTTGTTAAGGCTTCTACGTTCAAGAGCTGGGTATTCATAGTTCAACCAATCCCCCAATGCCTTACTTGCGTTACTTCAACGTTCTTCTAAGCTTAAGCTGGTCGTGAATATCCTGTGTAATGTGTGTTTCTTCGTATGAGCGAACTCCAACCCACAGTGGAAAAGATTCGAATTCAAACTGGATCATCCAGACTATGAGTACTGGCAAAAACTCCGTGCGTGTGTTGCAAATTCCATGGAAGGATTTTTTACATTTATGTAGCATATAGAGCCAAGATTGCTCATGAACAGCTCCTGTTGGGCTGATTCTGCAGAAGTCTGGGGTCAAGTCTCATTGATCTTGCGCAGGCCTTTTTGGACAGCTCATGCATCCGGCATTTTGAGTTATTGTTCGGAGTCAAAATTGGCAAGGCGTCAGTCTGGTGCAGCCATCATCCTGGTTGCTACGGTGTGCAATTTTACAACGCTGAGCCAGAGGACGCTGCCTTTTTGTATGTATTAAGGTGTTGGATTTCAGATGCTTGGACCCATGGCTTTGTAAAGTCTTGTTGCCTCTCAGATTGCTGCGAGCTTGGCATGGAGTTCTGGCACATCCCAAGGTTTTTCTGCCATAGTCCCGCTGTTTGTAGGGGACAGGCTGCTGCTGGCCCACCCAAAGGGCTTTTTGATCATGCTTACCTGAGAAAGGCCTGGGTTGAAGGTTCAGGCAGCAACAAGACAAGGTGTCTATTGCACAAGGGGAGAATGGTCCCCATATTTTAAAATGCGAGCAGGCATTTCTCTAGCGCCTGCTGCACGTCAAGGTATTCGAGTTTAGCAACATTTCTTGGCTGACTTAATTGATATTGACCCTCGTAGCTTGAAATTCTCTTCCCGTTGTTCTGCGCAACCGCCCTTAACCAAAAAATGTCTTCATCCGCAAATTCCGGAGCTGCAGGAGGATTACTTGTACTGCCTCAAATGGTGCGGCCAACCTCAGTGGTGTTTGGCTCCTATCCTGGATACTCGCGATGCAAATCAGATTGCAGTTGGTTAAAGGTTTGAGTGCTAATCCAATACCAGAATGGGCAGACTTCGCTGACCTTGTGTGATCCGTTGCGGTTGTGGCTTTTGGGCTTTAAGGTGGGGGTTGCTGCATAGTGGGAGGTGCTGCATAGTGGCCGCTCTGATCCGTCATTTTAAGCTGCTTCCGCTTCCCTGGACTTGAGGAAGAAGATTCCCAGGAGCTGAACGTGGATGAGGTAGTGCAAGACAAGTCATTCTACTTGTTTGCTGCGACCTTACACACTTTTGCGGTGACGCGAGTGTTTCTCAGCGTCAAGATCTGGATTTCGGTAAAAGAGCCTTGAGACAGCAGGATCATGGGTTACCTGTGTCCTCATTGTCAGGGTAGATCTCGACCACTTGAGCACAGCTTTGATCGCCTGCTTGAAAGAAAGGTCAAGCCGCCTCATGGCTCCTACAGCATGGCGCAGCCCCTACGCGGACAGCCTGCCAGGACTGCCAGTCATGAACTGTGCTTCCATTGAGGGTTGGGGCGGGGTATCAGATTGATGCCATTTGGGCCAGAACACCAGGTTTGCTTGTTGGGTGCACTTGACTTACTAATAGTATTATTACTAGACCATTACTACTCTTACTACCATTAGTATTAATATTACTGCCAGTATCATTATTACTTATTACTATTACTTTTACTATTACTACTCCTCCTCCTCCTCCTACTACTACTACTACTACTACAGTTATTTCTGCTACTATGGCCCCTTGGGAACGCGCGCCCTGCAAGATGCTCTTATGCTGGACGGGTAGCTCCTTGCTTTGATCCTTCGGCCAGAGAGGCCTGCAAGCCGCGTATGACGCTCGGTTGGACCAATTGGGATACACACTGAGTTTGGGGTTGAGGGTTTAGGGACTGGGTTTATGGTTTAGGGTATTTAGCCCCAACATGGAAAATTAAGCGGCAAGGAAAAAGGCAATGAAGTGGAGTCTGGGATTATATGGAGCTTTCTAGGGATTAGGTTTCCTAAAGCTAGGGGTGCCATTATGGGAGTCCCAAGAAATACAGACTATTTGGGGTCCATAGTGGGGTCCCTATGCATGGAAACTACCATGTAGAAGTGGTTTGCGTTCTGCTTTCATTAGGGTATTGCCCACGTGTTGGTTTCAAGACCAGTGGAAGTGGCGGGAATCGGGTAGTGAACCAAACCAGAAAGGATTGACAAGGCTTCGATTGCGCGTTGCAAGACCAGGAGTTTTCCTGTCTTTGTCTTCGTAGCTGACACATACGCCATGTTTCAGCCTATCTTTGAAGCCTTCCGACCATCATGCCAACGGGACAGGTTCTCCCAGCTGATTATGGAGATTTGTATAAGCAATCATAAGCACAAGCGAGATTTGAGCCCTGATCCGTTCAGGTTTGGACGCGGTGAACGTGCTTTCGTTTTTGCCCATGACCTGCAGCGGAGACCAGAATGGCTGGATAGGCTGGAGGCCAGCCGTTACAGAGTGTGAATGCTTTGCACCTCCGAGAATTCAGGGCGGCTTCAAGAACAGCTTACACGGTAATACTGGGATAATCGAAAAGAAAATGGAAACTACTATTTAGGGTTTAGGGCCCATGGTCCAGGATTCCTATCTGCCCTACCTGCAGAAGACTTGGGCGGAGCCAAATGGCATTGACCTGGTATTGATCCTTCCAGCCGAGGACATAGCCGCTTTCCGCAAAAAGCCCTTGAGCATGATATGCCATGCTGCTCGTACTTCAGGATCTCTCAGCTTGCAACACATGAACCCTAAGCTCTAAACCCTAAACCCTAAACCCTAAGCCCTAAACCCTAAGCCCTAAACCCTAAACCCAAAGAGTGAAGCCTGGCAGAACTTGGCCATCTCATCTCAGGCCCAGCACCCAATATCGGGGGCCCAAAGATCGGCCCTGAAGCAGCTGGGTGCCATGCCTGATTCAGGTTTCTTATCATTGGAGTTTATAGGTTATATGGTGATACAAGTGGTAATATAGAGTTATGTATATAGAGTTGTGTCGTGATACAGAAGGATATGCAGGCTTATGTAGGTTTTAGGGTGTGGGACTCGGGGTTTGGAGTGTCTTGATTGGTTTTGCAATGGGATGCGCTGCTCGTGATGGTTGCGCTGTCGCAGAATCACCGCAACAGGGGTGTCAGAATCATCGTACCTATCTTCAGGTGCATGTCTTTGTCACTAAGCGTCAATCCAGGTGCCGGCACTGGAAGCTTGTGCAGCAACAATCCTTGTCGACGCTACTCAAGCTAAAAGCGTTTGCAGACGCAGTCATGGAAATGAGGTATACAAGTCCGTGAGGTTTCCTGGATTCGCCCGGAGATGGGTGAAGGCCCTTCGGCAGACTTGTCCTGAAGGACACGTTTTTCTGCTTCCAGGATGTACGAGGGGATACACACTAGGTTTGAGCCGTAGTGCTCTTGAAGAGCAATACGAGCAAACAGTAGAGCGCACACTCAACCATGACACCTTCGTTGAGCAGAAGCTGTCTTCATGTTGGACATGAAATGTATGTCCTACTGAGTGTGCAATGTTGCTTCTTGCAAGCCGCTTTTGGAAGCTCTTGCTATGTGGTAAGGTATACCCCGCTGGGCTCGGGACGGATGGTGCTCGGGCCTCAATGCAAGAGCATTGCAGCAAGGTAGTTGAGCATACTCACTCATTGCACGCTTGATGCATCCTTCAAACCTTCCCAGCTACCTAATCGTGAAAGCTTTTGGCTTTTCGAGCTTCAGGTGTGGTGCAATTAAGAGAGATCCAGGAGCTGCCCAGCTCCACAGCTTAGGTGTGTCCCAAGATTTCTTCAAGCTGCATGCTCTGGGACTCGAATATGATGCCATCATCTTCTACGACACGGATATGTGCCTTGCAGCACCTCGCACAGTTCCTCAATTCTGAACGTTCGGCACTTCCTGCTGTTAGAGGCACGTAAGCGTGCATGGGTGTAGCGAGTTGTGCTGATTTGCCACATTCAGAAGTGCGTGTCACCTGTGAACTTATGCAAGCAAGTCGTCAGTGGCCATTGACCCACTGAGTTTCGTCAGCCCTCCTGATTTTTCCTACCTTGACTCTGCGACTTAGCTGAAATCAGTTCTTCAGTGCAGGGTTCCTAGCTGGCCAGAAGACGTGCCTGCTCTGGAGGATGGTCATTAGTCGTGCGCTGCTGCACATTATATGTGAAACAACGCTTAACCTGGGTCACTACTGAAGTTTCCTCCTCTTTCTTTTACACAAGCTAGCTAGCATAGGGTTGAGCAGCATTGACGTTGTCCGTGGTCCCGCCTGATGACAGCTCACGGTTGCTTCGTGATGCGTTGTGGTCGGTAGCTGGAAGTTCAAGCTGTCATGTGCCGAAGGGTTTTCTGCCGCTCCCGTTGCATGTGCGCAGGTCGTTCCGCACGCAGCACTTCGTTCCAAGCACACTTAGCAAAGCATGTGTTGCTGGAGAGCTTGGTTTGATCCGATCATGGAACTGTGGCAGATTGTCTCAACGTGCACTGAGACATGTGCCAAGGTCTTTAACTGCGCCTACCAGGTGGGCAGGGGTTGCACCAAGGTACTGTAGATTTGCGGATCCAAGCGGAAGCCTTGGATCAGACAGCCCCCGAAGTCCCAATTCTCGAGCCTCCAGTATCGAACCCAACAGATATGATGCAACAACACACCCCTATTACCCTTTAGTGTATAGTCCTAGGGATTGAAGCATTGTGCAGCTGGTCTAACAGTCATGCAGTCCTCTAGAACTTCACCCTGCATCCTGCAATGTCGACGAACACTGTTGAAGATGAGATGCCCTATAACCATAATCCCTCTATAACCCAGTACAGTAGGTTCCATTTTTTGTTTTCCTATAACCCCAATATATACCCCTTTCAGTATGCTAGAGTACTTGCCTGGAGCAGCTGAGAGCCGGTGCGCTTCTGTATCGGGGCCAGGAATTTCACTAACTTGGGGTTATACTGGGGTTATATTGGGATAATGGAAAACAACATGGAAACTACTATACTGAGATATATAGGGATTGTAGGTATCTGCACCCCAAACCCCTTTTGACCCTGAGCCACCTGGAGGGTTACTTCTTGGCATCGGCGCTGCACGGTGGTTTTGAGTTCCTCAGCTGTGGTACTGCTTGTCGTGAGTTGTCTGGACGTTTACTGGGTCTAGGGTTTTTTTGCCATGATGAAGCTCATGCAGGACTTGGGGCTTGAGACTGAACGGAGGGTTTGGGCCGAAGGGCTCGGTTGTTAGGCGGTCGGTGCAGGTCTTAGTAATGGTGTTTGGGAGGTGGACGTGCTTCAAAGTGCACTACAAGTTTTTTTCGTCCTGCCAGATTATTGGCTTGAGTTCAATTTGCAGCCGCTCCACCGCTACTTGGATCGTGCTGTCTGAAGCTTTTTTCCTTTGGTGTTTGTTGATTTTTGTTCCCGGCGTTTTTTGCCTAGCTTCTGCTCCCAAGTTTTCACGTTCTGCTGTCGACGTGCATGTGCTGCACTTGGTTGCTTGACTTTGCTTTTACAAAGCTGTTTTAGTTGCTGTGGGCTTTTGTGAGGATGAGAACAAGTCAGCAAACTGGGAAGCAATCTCAGAGTAGAGGTATCTTCAGAATCCTATAGATACCATACCGGCACTCATTGTCTTGCCGTTCTGATTCTGAAACATGTCATGTTCACTGTTCCTAGGGCACATTTCTGATCAGTTCTATCATCGCTGGTACAGCTTCATGGTGCTGCTCTCTCTGTCAGCGAATTTATCGCGATTCCCATCTTCCCAAAGAAATGGTGAACGACTTCAGTTTTTTGATATCCGTGCATTGTCAGCTTTCCTGTACTTTAGGTATCATCATGAACGCAGCGCTGGTAACTAGTGGCGGCATAGCCATTGTCATTATGAGTGTACGGTTGCAAGTTTCATCACGTGTACAGTAAGCTTCATAGACCCTCATATGTTTTAGTAGGTTCTAGATGGCTGCAGATGTTGTGCGGAGTCTTAGAGCATCTCCAGATGTTGGAATTCGTGGCGTGCACAAAGTCCCATCGTTTGTCCTTGTTGGACCTTGCAGAAGCTGGCAAACCTCGGATCACTTCAAAGAGCCACAAACTACGAGTCTACGAGTAGTGGTGTTTGCAGGGCTCTCAGCGGCTTTCAATGCTGCATCTCTCCGAGCTGAAGCCAAGGCCACTTGCCGTCGGCTTCTTTGCAGTGCGGCCTTCACCTGCACTCCTGCGAGCGGTGCAGCACTTCTTGCAGGCCCTGGGAGTGCGTGCCCGGGTGTGGGGTTGGGGTTGAGAGCTCAAGGTAAGGGTTGAGGCTGGAGGCCTACCCCAGTGGATGAGACATGTAGACCAACTAGCCGGTCATGAACGAATCCTTGGCCCACACCTGTTGAATAGTTGGTGCCAGCTTTGCAAGGTTTTGTTCTCTCTAGCCTGTCTGAGAGGTGAGGATCCCCGCTTGGAAGTTTCAGACCGGGGGTCATGCACAAGATTGCACAGTGGGTTTCATTTTGCAGGGAATCCATCTGGGTGCATGGGCATCGGCATCATGAAATGCTTGACCCAGCACCGGCACAGTGTTCCACTGGAATTTGTGCACCAACAGGAGTTCGTAAAATTGGGCCAAACCTTGGCGCATTTTGTTTGCTTGCCAGGTTTCAGAGGTGCAAGCATGATTTTTTCGGGAAGTCCAAGCCTGGACTTTTGCAGGCTGTGGCTGTCGCAAGTTGTGAAAGGCATCGGGTTGATGGCATCCTTTAGTTTCCGTTCTCCCTTCCACGGTTCCCTCTACATTCTTGTCTTTGCAGCGTGGTCCAGATCTCCACCTACGATGAAGAGACTGGCTGGAACCGCGTTGGCTTCGGGCCCTGGGGCTGCTTGGATAGTGCCCAAGTTAGGAAGGCATGGATTGAGCTTCAGGTTTGAGTGCTTCGGAGCTAGAGCAACAGGCAGAGTCCTGTCGAGTTGAAAGGGCGGGAAGAGCCTAAATTTGTGACATCTTTCATGTGCCAGGTACAGATGACTGGTGTTTCCGTTCGTATCATGTCGGTGGAGAGTGCGGACAAGGCTGGTCTCTCATGGACTTTCATTCAGTGCCTCTGTGCCGCGCTGCGACGCCAAAGGCCTTTTCTATGACTTGTTTTACCGCGCGGACCAGAAATTCTGGAAGCCTGGTCTGCAAGGAGAGCTGCGGCATTCTCAACCTTGGAACCATGTAGGCTGCAGAAGTTCAGGGAGTGGATGCGTCTGCCGAGGACTGCTCTCCAAGCTGAAGCAGCCGTCAGGCATTCGGGGGTACTTCTGGGTCAGCGGCTGTCTCAGAAACTGAGAGGGATTCAAGACATAATTCGCTCCATGTGTCCTGTTCTTTTATGCACGTCTTGATGCTGTGGCTGGCCACTAGTAGGATAGCTGACGACTCGTGTTACAGTCAGCTATACCACTATCACACATGTTTTTGCAACTCTTTGTTTGTTGCGTTGAGCTTCTATTTTTTGCATTATTGCTTGTGCAATCCAATGAAACTCATTGTTTCTGTTGCCGCGCTTGTGACGATAGCCACGACGGCTGATGTTTACGTGTAGCACTGGTACAACCCTTTGGCAACAACTTTTCGAACCAGTAAGCATCAGCCCAATTGGGAACGTATGCATTGTTTGGTGCTCTGAAGCGGTCACGCTACTGTCGCTTTACAACGACGGATCATCCAGATGGCACCACAGATATCCTTGCCTCATCATTTTAGTGTACATGAGCAGTGCACTTGCTACAATGAAAGTTGCCACCGGTGGTCATGCTGATGGCGACATTTTGAATGATGATCATGCCGCTGCTGATGATGTTGTTGCGGTGGTTGTGGTGGTGGTGGTGGTGGTGGTGGTGGTGGTATCAGTCGTAGTTGGTCACCCAGGTGTCGGTCCAGTGCTTGGTCTGCATTCTTTTCCTATTGTTGCAACGACTTGTTTTGATGTCGCGTCTGAACGCCATTACAATACCATTTCATACAACGTTGTGCAACCCAGGCCCCTGTAGACGAACACAGTCATTTGAGTTTGGAAGCCTGGGATGCTCCACAGACAGGCCGCTTGGTGTGATGCTGGATGGCCACCTGGCTCCTTGTGTTTCATTTTTCGACCCCTGCTGCCATCTTTTTGGTTAGTATTTTTAAGAGATGCAAGGGTCAAAAAGCGGTCCGAACTTTGATGCCCCTTCCACACGACAAAGCAAGGATGTATATGGCTTCACGAGAATGCAATCCGTGTTCCCGGGTTCCCGACGGTGAGTACCTCAGGAAGTCGTTTGCTGGATAGAGCAGCGCATGAAGTAGATTGGGGCTAGTTCCACTCCTCATGGACCACCTCCGAGATGGTGTGAAGTTGTTGCCGGGGGTCAAGCGGGTCCACGTCAAGCCAGCTGGCACTGGTGTGGTGGAAGCTGTCATCGCGCGACTTTGGATTGATGCTGAGGTCTCAAATCCGTGCCAGGACCTGGTTTCACAAAATCGCTGCAGTGAAATCGTGGCCTACCACAAGGCAGGATTCGTTGGGATGCATCAGTCGGGGTGCTGCTTGGTGTTTATAGTTTTGGGCCAACCTGCATGGGTGGTAGTGACTTTATGCATTCAGTCTCCCAGCAGCCGAAGCGCTGCAGGGTTTTTGCCGTCCGAGCCAGCTCTTTTCCTGCATTTCGAAACCTGTCAAGGTCTGGACTGCGTTTCGCATGCCCTATCGTGGCTGAGAGGCCAGTAACGAGAACAGAAGCAGCAGCAAGCGTAGCAAGCCTAAAGAGGCGTCCAGCATCCCAACCAACCATCTCAGCCACAGTTCATCTAATTCCCAGATCCCGAAGCTGGTTCTCACACTTGAAGCTCCACTGCCGAAATGGCCATGCTGAAGTAGCTAGAATCTGGGGAAGATTGTCAGCAGGTAGACGTTTGGTGATTTGGAAAGTCTATCTGACTTGAAAGGTCATCCAGGGACGTGGCTGCGCTTCGTCGCCAGGGCTCCTCAGCGACACTGCCTCGCACCTGCTGAGGTCGCGGATAGTATGGGATTGGGGGATTTGGAGGCCCAGGGAAAGGGCTGTCAACCAGTGGAAGAATACCCTTTTGCCTTCAGGAGCCGCGGAGTTTAGGCGAGGAAGTGAGGTGTTGGATCTTGGTTGAAGCAGCGGCGGCAAATATGCAAGGATGAAAGTAATTTTTTCGAAGCGAGGATGTTGGGTGGAGGCCCAGGCCAGAAAATCTCCCGGGAAACTAAAGCAAAGGCGGCGGCAAACCAAGGACTGCAGCTTCCGGTTTGAGTCAGGCCTAAGGCTTCCATGTCATGAGGAAGTTTTGCTGACTTGAAACATCTTGAAACTGTCAAGCATGTCTTATCTCGAACATTCATTCTACGAATCCCCGCGCTTCAGCTATCCGTAGAGGCTGTACCCGTCGGATGCCAACGACAACCTCTACAACCCCAACTCGCACGTCGCTGACGTGGCCGTGCAGGGGCCCCTTTCGTGACCCTGCTCTGGGTCGACCTTGGCAAAATAGCCGACCTTTCTGTGAATCATAAGGAGAGCATTTCAGAGGTGTCACCTGCGGGGAAGGTCGACCCAAATTGTGTCATGAAAGCAGACACTGATCAATTTGAGATGCAGCCAAGAAAAGGTAGCACAATCCTGGAGTGTGTAGTGGTTAACGGGTCAGAATCAGAGTTCAGGCTTGTGCGGGTAATGATTGAATCCAGACCGGGGCAATGTTCTTGTTGCCAGGGGCCATGAACTAGATGAAAGCACGCTGCCCTGCCTGCTGTTCAAGATTTCTGCCTGCTTTGCTCATAGGTCCATCCATGAACTTCCAATTCATGGTTTCGTTTCCTTTCCTCGCTTGATTCGCTTTCTTGCTGTGAAAGCTGCAAGCTGACTCAGCTCCCCACATCCGCCCGGATTCCTGGCTATCAAAGTTCAGGGTCTCCTGCTTTGCATGACTGGAAAGGATGACCACCCGCAAGTGATATCGTTGGCCACTTGTGGTAACATTGAAGCTGGAAGAACCGTGAAAGGCATACTGGCAGTGTACGCCTCAGCAGGGACAACAACGGTGTTGCGGAATGAAATCACCAGAAATGAAGGGGCAGCTCACTGCTGCAACTTATGATTTGTATTGATTCGTCAGGAGTAATGAACCTTTCTTGGCAGAGTCGGCATTGCCTGAGTGTGGATTATTGTCCTGGGGCTCTTTCGGTTCAACCTGCAACCAGGCAGGAGGAATTTGCTCGCGTGCATTCAAGGGAATTTGGTTGAAGCAGAGCTTCATCCTTGAGAAGCGAGATTCTCAAAAACGCGCGCTTGTGGAAAGAGTGATTGTCCATGAGCGGCGGGAATGAGATCTGCTTTTATCCGAATGAGAATGTGCTTGGGCTGCATCTCACGTTCGAAGCTTGTTGCCAGGATCCCTTTTCAGGACCCGACTGCTTTGGAAGCTTGGGTGGCTTCTTTTCCTGGGACTTCTGCTGCGAGACCCCTGTCTGGGATCCGTGTGAGTGGGGTGAGATCCTGGCTGCGATTGCAGGATCTACGGACCAGGTTGGCCCTGTTCTGCTTGACATGCTCCACCGCTCTCCCGTGCTGCTGCGGGAGTTTTGCTGCATTGTGCCAGGCGACGGAACCTTTCCCTGCTGGCGAGGTTATGACTTCGATTCGGCCGAACTGGTCCCCAGCCCTTATGTCCAGTGCTGCCAGCCAGTGTTAAGAAGGTTACTTGCCAAAGATGTGGAGGAAGAGTGGATGCAGGCTGAACTGAATCGGGAGTTTGCCCCACTGGAATCCAAGCGCTGGACGACAAAAGAGCTCCAGGAGTTTCAGGAGGTACATGCAACAGGAGCCAAAGGAGTCCGACCTTGTTTGCTGTCCGTGAGAGGTGGCAACGAGACCATTCTGCACGATCAATCGGAATGCTGTCCCGAGCCCTTTTTTGACTGCTCTTATGTCCTCGCAGTGATGAGTGCGCTCTCGATCATTGGAAGATTAAAGCCTTTGCCAGATGTGGACTTGCTGGTCAGTCCAAGCAATCAGGACCGCCAGTTTGCCACTGTTCCTGTTTTCACTCGGCACCGTCCGCGCGAGCCAAGGAGCCATTATGTCCTACTTCCAATGGAGTGGCAGCTGTCACCAGGACAGGCACGCAAGCAAACCATGGGCGTACACCGTCATGGTGCCGAGCATCCATGGGAAACTCGGCCGCAGCAACTGTACTGGCGCGGCACCAACTCCAACTGCTTCGTCTCTTGTGAGGTTGGACAGGTCAGTGAAGGGCGGCAAGCTTGGGAGGATTGCCTGAAATCCTATGATTGTGAGACACCGTGGTCGGTGTCTAACTGGCTGTCGCTGCCACGGGGCCGGCTGGTTCGGATGTCGCAGCTATTCCCAGATGCAATCAACGCACGATGGGTTGGTTTATCCCAGCCTATGGACGATGAGCTGTGGAGCTACTGCGAGGAATCCAACCTCACCGATGAGCGTACCAGCCAGTGGACTCAGGCTGAGTGGGCATTTGCCATCAACGTTGACGGAACTGGAAGTGGGGACCGTGTATATTGGCAGATGCTTGCTGGGTGTGTCGTGCTGATTCAAGATAGCCCGTGGGTGTCTTGGCTTGTTGGGGAGATTGGAGGACCTGCTGCACTTGCACCTGCTAAGCATTACATACCCATTCGATATGACCTCATGGACATCCTTGACAAACTCACCTGGCTGCAAGAGAATAAGTACGACGCCAAGCATCTGGCTGAAACAAGCGAGCGTTGGGCCCGGAAGTTTCTGAGTTATGATTGGGTGCTGTTCTATCTGGACAGGGCGATTCGTCGATATGCTGAACATGTGGACGCCACCGCGTTGTTGGAAGTTTCCGTGTGAGTTCACGCTACGCTGAACTTGAGTTGCCTCCAGGTGCACCAAGCCTGCCCAGCAAAACAACGCGGTGCTCTATTGTGATGAGGGGGGTCGTGTCACTTTTTCAGCCCAAGCGAGGTCAGCTACGCGTGCAATGCGAAGTGTTTTGGGGTTCGCTGCAGCAACGTTTTGATTTGGGAGCATTTTTGCGGCGTCTGTTCTTCACTTCAATTGAAAACGGGTCTGCCCTCCTGCTAGAGACACGTGTTCAATGGAGCGTACTCTGTGGAGAGTCCTTGAGGAGGTTGGAGGAAGTGCTAGGTATGCTTGGGTCTATCAGGGGAAACATCCCACTCCGATCTTCAGTGATCTTCAAGACTTGAAACTGGGTAAATCCATGCCTGCAACATGCATCTGATGTGGCCAGGCAAACAGAACCCAACACAGTTGCGGCTGTCTTGCAACAGCGCTGCCCTCGACGGCATCCTCATCCTCCAATCGTAGGACTCATGCTAATCGTTAACCATCTCCTCCGTCTCTGGTCTGTGACCTTTGGCTCATCGTAAGAACAGCTAGTCCGATAATAAGATGCTATGTTCAGCAGTCTGCATATACCCTGGCTTGCTGGCCCTTTGGTTGGACCTGCAAAAGCCTTCACAACCTTCAGCCCAAATCCTGACAGCAGTTACTAGTTCCTAGTTTCATTCCATCTAGTTTATCACCACCGCCACGTGGTTGTGTCAACATGATGCATGTTACGATCCCAGCCTGGACTGCTGCTATGGTCCGGGTGTCACTCCTTCTTGCAGCATCAGCGTGGGCCCAGGAGGCCCAGCCCATGTGGAGACCCCTGGCCACATTCAGAGGCCTTTCAGGGACGACTATAGCACCAGCACAAGAGAAGCTTTGATGCAACCCAGTACGCGAAGTAAGTGCGGGTCTTGCTATCCTCCTACATGGGGCGCAAAGGATGCTAGAAAGCGTTGTATGGCGAATTCACTAGACCCAAGCCATCAGTCCGCAGCTGATTTTCATGTGCAGATCTGCAAATTGAGAAAGCTGTTTTTTCAAAGGCAGAGGGCCACAGAATAGACTCCAATACGCCGCAATCCTTGTTTGTGGTGTGACCCCCCAAAAATGATCACTAATTTTTGCAAACCCAAGTTCTTGTTGAAACATTCGCTGCTGAGGTGGTCCGTCCTTGCAGGAGTTGGACTTCTACCGCGCCGCCCTGCTCCAGGCCAGACTTGAAAAGAGCCTGGGGGTCTGGTATTTCAGGGTTTTGAAGAGATATGTGGGTGTATAGGGGTGAAGAAATATACAAACAGAAGGGGTATCTAGGGAAGTGCTAGGGAATCCCGTAGTGCCATGATTGCGGAGAATTACATGGTAAAGAACATGGAACATGAAATGGCAACTGGGATTGGGGAAGTATATTGCTGGGGTTCTAGACTGGTTTATGGGGTTTGAGTTTCCATAAATCAGGGGATCGGCTGTTTCTGGTACTTTGCAGGGATGCTGGTAGTCTTCCATGAGGCTTTGCAGAGGTGCAAAATCTTGGAAGCCATCTGTTTTTTCGACATGTCTACACCCCTTCATGGGCGTCATCATTGCTTCCATGCTGCAGGGCTGACACGGTACGAGCAAAACAAATGAGTCAAGGTTGTGCTGACGACAGTTTTAGTGTTGCAGCTGGCAACACTTATCAAAACTGTTAATCATTAGTTTTGTCACGCCTTTGATTTTCGATGAAGATCAACTCTTCGCATCTCGTTATCGGTCTTTGCTTACAATTACTGCTGCTGCGCAGTGGCAGCACCATTACTTTTGCACCGCCACTACTCCTCTCAGTGCTAGTGCTATTGCCAGTACTGCCGCTATAACAGCTACCTCAGACTGTGACTGCGGGTGGATGCTTCTATGTCTGCATGCTGGCAGAGGTTGACCCATTGGGTGAGACCCCTTGCATCGTGTCTTTACTAGCCAAGTGCTTTTCCAAACACTCGTGTAGATCACATTCCTGGGAACAGCGCACTTGCCTGTGATGCTGTGCTGAAGGTTGGAGAGCATTGCATAGTGTCGGCTTTGGAAGAGTTGCCTTCTGAAGCAGCTCAAGACAAGCAACTTCAGACTGATTGTGCCTCGACATGTTTCGAAGCATCCGTCGACCTGCATCAAACCCTGCAGGTGAGTTTCCAATTATGTGGGTGATATGATAGGTTTCAGTGCATACGTGATAAGCTTTTTCGGGAATTCAAGCAGGAGATGCTAACTGCTCAAAGCACAGGCCGCGCTGCCTCAACCTTTGACCCCAAGAACTGCTTTAGAGCTGAAACCAAGCTGCATCGACACCCTGATCTATGAGTCCTTTGCCACTCCGAACCCGAATTGTGAAGCCGGCCGCAGGGGGCAATGCTTGAAGTGGAGGCTGGCTTGCCGGACCTCGCCTCACGATGCCTTGAGGACGGCTTTTTCCGTTTAGAGCAGAGCATGCGTTCACAAATGCAGTCATGGGGTCAAGAATCATGGCCTTCCAGCCCAACTTTGAAGTATCTTTAGAACACGATGGTAGCCTTCCACGCAGGTTGCTTGGGACCCAGTCAGTGACTGGGAAGTGCAGCGTCGCTGCCGGTTCCTGCTCCTCTTCCTCCATGGTGAAAGCAAGACATCAGAGCTGTCCCTCCTCTGATTACTTCTTTTGCGGTCCCTAGGTTTAAGGTTTGAGACTTGGCTTTCAGCAGGCTCCAATGGTTCAAACTTGATCTAAGCATTATCATCGGACCGCCTCCGCAAAGGCAAGGGCGTTTTGCCCAGAGTGCGCTTTGGAGCGGGGTTGGTGGTGAGGCCGGGGCAAGAAAGGTGGAAGGAAGAAAGGGGGATGCAGGCATAGGGGTGGTTTTCTATGCTTCAGTTGGATGTCCTGAACTTGCAGGCCATGAGCCTAGGGCTGCTGAACGTATTCTTCTCAGCGCCGAGAAGGAAAGAAGAATGCTTCGAAACATAAGAGGAGGCCAGACTCACAGGTGACGACAGGGCAATTCAAGGACTTTACATCTTTCCACGAGTTGGGGACCTTGAGCATCCACATCCCACTGAGGCTGCCCCCCTGAGCACCTGTACCCAAACCTCAAAAAGCAGCGAACTGACCGAACCGTTTGCTCCTTTGTGTCAGGACCACTCAGGGTTTGGGAATTGAGGTCCATAACAGCCTTGAAGAAGCAAGACAGTTCTGCTAGCTACCACACATATTATACTATAATTATAATATACTATAGTATATTATAATATACTATACTATATTCTAATATACTATACTAAAGTATGATATATGCCCATGTCTCCTATGTGCCACACCTCAGGCTGCCCGAGCAGAGCTGCGAGCAATGGGCCTGGTTGTCCATGCCGGACAGGCAGCCTGTCACAGAAATTGGCATGGAGATGTCTTCTTGGCCTGGGATCCTTTCCCGTTTTGGGCTCACAGGGGCCCGCAACCCGATAAGTAGTTAGATGGGACGCTTTTCGTTGACCCTAGTCTTTACTTGGGCTTTGGGCGAGGATCCTTATGGGTTTGTGCGCAAGGATGGTTTCGATGTAAGGCTGTAGAAGCAGGAAACCCTTGAGAAGCTACACAAGTCTCGCACCAAACGCCATAATCATTTTCTAGGTTTCAGGTCTTCCGCGGTCAAGGGATAGTTTCCAGGCCCCCCCCCCGGCTCTGCCTCGCCAATCCAAGGGCAGTGCGCGTGATGGACCCGGAGATGCTGGGTCGCTTCTATCGCTCAGGGAAGGACTCCGCCTTTGCTGTGCTGATGTTGGTGCAGACGCAAAAGCTTCTTTTTTAAGATCATCCTGAAACAAGCATCCTGATCAGAGCAGAACTCCCCAGTCCTCATGCAACTCGGAGGAGTATGATCTCCATGACATCCCGGAGGGACGCGAAGTGTGGATCGTAGGGGCTCTACACTCTGGACCAGACGAGCTGGTGCAAATCCTGCAGTCGAAGCCCTCACGAATCCACTTCTTCGAGCCAGTTCTGGAGTTTCCGGTCACCAAGTTGAGAGGGCTGTCGAGGTGTTCTCTGTTTACCAATCAACTAGGCGGTGCTTTTTGCGTTAGGGCTCAGTGACACAAGGTTCTTCCAACAGCTGCAGATGAAATGGCGTGGTCATGCTTATGCGAATCTGCACAATTACGGTCTTGGGCATACACGAGAAGCCAGTGAGATGTTCATGGCTGGCGCCGGGAGCTCCCTCTTCCATCCCATGGAGTTCTCGGGGAGGCGTCTTTTCTTGGATTCTGTGAGCGACCTGGAGACTGGGAGGCTCCGTGAGGTTCGAGCCCTTGTTCGCGTGGAAGCGGTGGAGTTGGTTTGGCGGGTGTTGTCTTCGGAAGACCTGGGCCTCCTGTACATGCCACGTGGACTTCAATTACTCAACATGTTTCTCTGACACTCAAACCAGGGCTGAGTGCGGATCAGCCTCAGGCAGTCTTCTAGAGACTTGATGAAGACTACCATAGCCGGGCCTGACAGACGCAGAGGCAACCCAGGAACCACTCGCAGACACAGTCATAGCACTGAACCGAGCCTGCCAAACGGGTAGGTGAAATGTGGCCGCAGGCACTCGGGCAAGTAAGTATCAAGCTTCACCTGATGCTGAGACACGTAGGGTAAATGTGGTCCATAAAGCCAAAAACGATCCTGCCTCTAGCTCTTGACAATCTGCAATGTGGTACAGATGCCAGGAATTGCGAAGGTTGTGAATACGAAGTGGTCCCGCAGTTAGCAGCTGCAGGGCTCCTTGGGAAGATTCAGGTGGGAAGTGAGAACTAGCTGTTTTCAAAGTATGCGTTATTCCGCGGTATCCTGCTCTACTATATCCTGGATTCGGGCCTGCAGGCAATTTTGGTTGCATCGCATCTGGTGCTCAACGACGAGGAGGCTACGCAGCTGTGCGACATGACTTCTGGTACGTGCTGGAGCCTTGCCTTACTCTTGTTTCGGTACGCTTCGAGGGCAGAAACGATGGGATCTGGAAGTTGAACTCGCATCTAAGCTTTGCATGTGAGGGCTTATCTTGTTGAAGGTATCCTGACGGCATGAAAGTCACATGATATAGGCAAGCTTGCAGGCAGGGTTGTGATGTGGAATCAGTCCAAGCCCCAGAAGCAGCCAGGCAGGAGGCTGCTCTCACGGGGGCCCAGCGCTACTGCGATGCTTTCGAGACAGTTGCTTGGTGCAGAAGACGGCTTGTGAACTCGAATAGCTAAGAGGAAGGGTCCCATCATGTGCTAGGGCAGGTGCGTGCTAGCCATTCAGTCGCATCTCCTGCAAACAGGTGCTGGCGTCAACGCATACAAGAATGTGGGGGCTGCCCTTTACCTTCCAGTACTGGGAGATCAAGACAGTCAAAAAAGCGCTTCTCCATCTCTTGAGTCTCTTCATTTGATGCATTGGATGATCATTATGCATTGTGGTTTTCTGTTGACTCCAAAAGCGTTTGCTCCTACTACAGTTGTCGTGATGAAGGAATGTATTTACATTAGTATTTTCCGTGCTGGCTGCAGTGCATCCGACCAAATAAATCTGCGATATGTCTTTCTAAGCCATTCCCTAAACCCCACGAGACTTCTTCAACCCTGAATCCTAAACTGCTTCGATGGTGGATGTCGGTTTGAGTTTGTATCGCTCGCAGCACATTTTAGCCCACACGGTGGACCACTGCAATGCGAGTTGATAGGTCCTTCAAAAACCTGAACAAGAGATATTCAAACTCACAGCTTTCACATATTGATGGTACCGAGGGTCTTGAGCTCTTTCCTGGCACAGACCGGAGCTCGTTCCTAATAATGCGATGCCTCGGCCTCATTCAGGCTCTACCTGGTATCCCATGAAGAACGTGTGGCCAAGTCTGGGTTGTTCCTTCGCTTGCCAAAACCTGTCCACTCCTGTTGGCATCTGTTCTGGTATTCAAAACCAACACCCTGCTGGGTGGGTGGCGGCCAGAAGTCTCAACGGGATCGTATTGGGGGATGACATGCCATTTGTTATAGCTGTTATAGCATGGGACTTGTTGTTTGTCCTTTTGGCCAAGTAGCGGATCGTGGCTGAAGAAAGGCCTCTTGCATGGGCTTGTCCATTTGCCTGATGACTTGCAGCAGCTCTGGCTTCAGTCTTGACCTCCTGGTCTTGAGCCATGTCATATCAGGAATCCTGCGGAATGCGTTGCCTCAAGAAGCCAGAGGCATCTTCATCTGCTGGGCACTGCCCAGAGCGCCGAACCCTTCGGCACCAGCTCTCATGCCCGTAACTTCTGGACATGCATTTGCTCAGCAGCTTGCCTAGACGTCAGCATGTTTCTGAACTTTGGATGAACGAACGGGGTCCAAGAATTCAACGACATTTGCCGTGTTTGCACCAGCACGTTCCAGCAACTCCCTTGTGTCAGAAACAAGGACAGTTGGAGCTTGTCTCCTGCTTTCTCAGTGCGGGGCAGCGTTTGAACCCACTCCGCTGAGGCGCATGTTAGTCAAACGCCAGTTATATCATTGCGTTAGATGGGCAGACCAATAGTTTAAAGACGCAAATTCAGAACCTCGTAAGGCACGGCAGGTCCAGATGATCACAACAGAATCCACAGAAAACAGATTTTCCACCGCCAGATTCTTAGTCTGGATTGGTCTAGCTGCTTAGCACTAAGACTGAGAAATATGCAGCAATCTTCGCTGCTTGCATCAGGGATGTGAACAAGTTTCTGGATCCAGTCTTTGTCCCGGACTTCTTCCTTGACGCAGCCAGTACGGCTGAGGCCGCTCGTGCTTTGGCGCATGGCAGCAGCGTTCTTCGTCTCAGTTTTTTTTTGTGATTTGCCTTGACTCTCAATTTGGCCCCTGTGTTTTGGGAGGTCTTCGAGGCACTTGTAAATAGCCAGCCGGTTGGGCAAGGCTACGTGAGCTCGTTTCTGGATGAGACGTTGTTTCTTGGATGCAATTTGTCGTAGCCTTAGGTTAACAAGTACTAGGGGCCTGGTAAGCAGCTTTTTCTAATATTTGCTTTGGTCAGACCCAGGTCAGTGGGCTGGATAGAAAGGTTCAAAAGAAGTTGGTAGTCTTGGATGAGGGGAGGGGGACCACGGAAAGCCTGTCAGAAGCCAACAAGAGGGGGGTAGATTAAATTGTTCAGTGCTTGAGGGTCCCCTTTTATTAGGCCCTCTGGGACGTTAGTGAGCCTTCCTACGGTACGGGAGGTCTTTTTTGATGTTGCTCCCTTAAGGATTCCCTGAGCTCTTAACTGGAACCACAGGGCATCATCCTCTCTCTCTCTCTCTCTCTGTTTGATTTTATTTCATCCCGTTTTCCCCGTTCTCTGCAAAGATTCTTGGACAAGCTTTTGTAGGGATTTGAATTCAGATTAGGCCTGTTCCCCCGCGAATGGCTCCTATGCTGGTGTGGGAGACTGGGCTGCTGCTGCAACACTTGAGCCTTGGGCCAAACTTGCAGTGGAGTCTTGGGGTAAAGCATATTCGCTTTTCCAGATGTACAGGTTCAGATATGGGGACGAACAGTCTTTTGGATATGGTTTCTAGCTTGCGGCTTTGTAGTTGACCTTGGCCCGGTGATGCAATGTTGCAGCGCTCTGTCCAGCCCTTCTTGCAGCTTCAAGCACAAGACTGCGCCACGAAACAAGGCAAACAAGCTCTTGACCCTCCTTATTCCGAAATCCCTCGAAACACCAAGGAAATCAAAGGAGGTCTCGCAGGTCACGATCCCAGCTGGATTTCCACGCAGCTTCTATTTTGCTGTCGGGGTTGCGCTCATCAAGCTCATCTAGAAATGTCACACTTGATCTTTGTTCAGAGCCAACTTTGTCGCATTATTCTCGGAACGTGTGCATTGGTTCTGGGATACGTGGTCTCAGAGTTTTCTTCGAATGATGCCTTGTGAACCAGGTGATCGTGGACGTCGGCGCGCATGAGTGGAGCCGGTTCCTTCCAGAGCTCAGGGAGGATCCCCAAGCCTGGCTGGTGCTTCTGGAACCTACCCGCGAAGCTACTTGCCAGACTATCAGCTCCCACACCTGCTTCTGCGTGGGAGCCATGTACTTGTGAGGCCTTCCTGAGTCTGTATCGCCGCCTGAAGGCTCCCGGATTGCATTTCACAAGTCGGGTCCCGTTATGGTTCCTTGCATTTGCGAGTTGGCGACCATGCTTGTACCCCCCAAAAGTGCTCACATTCTGAGAACAGTGCAGTGCACGTGATGCCCGGTCCTTTTGCGTTTTGGCCGTGCGCACACTGATGCAGATGGATTACTCGGATGTCATTGAGCGCGTAATCGCCATGCCCATGGCGCTGACGTGGGAAGCAGGCCCGTGTGCTCCTAGTCAAGTAGTGGCCGGAGAGCAAGAGGACGGTAGGGGAGAGGGAGAGAGAGAGATGTGAAGCAACGAGGGGTGCCAATTGTCCAAGCAGTCTAACAGGGGCTGGGCACTGTCTCCCCAGAGCCCGAATGCAAGAAAGAAAGAAAGAAAGAAAGAAAGAGCCATTTCGGCACAAGTCGTCTGCCGGGCTCTCTCGGGCTTGCTCGGCCGCCACCTGAGGGCTGGTCCCGGGTGGTGGACGCTGGTCTGAGCGGATGCGGCTTGAGGCTGCGCGTCTGCAGCTGTTACCAGACAAGACCTTGGAACCCCGTCCTTAACAGCCCGTTTCGTTTCCCTGTGCCTGGCACCGCCATAGCCTCGAGCAGCGGTACAAGTCCGAACACTATGCGTTTCTTACTTCCACGTTGCGCGTGGCAAGTACTACCAGAACGGTCCACAAAAGCAACCGCAGCTGGCGAGGCGAGCGGAGGACAATGTCACCGGGCTAATGGAGGATACCAGGGTTCCCCCTGCCAGTAGGTCGCTAGGTGACTATTCGCCGCGTTCGAAACAAAGAAAAGACCACGAACTAGCGGAAACGACTGGGACGGGCCACCTTGTGAAAGAGCTAGCGGAACCGACTGGGGCAAGGAATTCCCAGAAGGCTGAAAACGCTGCGAGGACGAGTAATCTGAATTGAGAAAAATTAAAAGCCGGCAGCCCAAAATTCCCGCTAGTTTAATGCAAGACTTGATGAGGTGAACACGTCAACGCAGGAACGCTTGCAGGCCCGGCGACTTCCACGACTTAACTAAGAGTGTGTTACACACCCAACAGGCCTTTTGTAGGCCAGGCAACTCCGTGGCCCAATTAGTTGCAAGTTGCAGAAGCCTAGAGAGCAAGGAGAGAAAAGTCCATGGTCACTGAGCAGACATGTGATACAGCCATTCTCAGGCTGTGGCCTGTGTTGCTGCTGCACTGCTTGCAAGTGGTTCTTGGAAAAGTGCTTGCGCGAGACGCCTCGTCGGCACGATGCTGTTGGCTGCTGCTGTCGTGGTGTTGCATCTTCAGTGCAGCAGCGCCAGAAAAACGGAGCTGTTCAATTCAATGCCTCTAATCAAAGAAAGAGAGAGCAAGTCCTTTGTAGTTCAGCGGGGGAAAAGAAGCTGGATGGCAAGCAGCTTCACATTCGCAAGGCTGCCTGTGGGGATTTCGCGTGCTGCACACCAACAGCTTCCTGAATGGAGAGTGCAGCTTGTTGAACACATTAGTTTGAGTTGTCGAGCAATGCTTTGTTGTGAACTTGCACATAGTCAGGCAACAGCCTTTTGGAGCCTGATGGCACCTTTGAGCATCCATGCGTCGCCGAGGGCCCTGACATGATAGTGCCTGTCACAGGGCTGCATTGTCAGACTTCTTCATTTTCTGCATGGGCTTTGGTATGGGGATGCAGCTTACGAAACGACTGCACATCGTCTGTTCTTAATTCCTAGTCCTGGACGGAATATGGTAGCTTTGGCAAAGGAATCTCGCCAACTGCGAGCTTGAGGTAGCAGGATTTGAAGACTTGCCAGCTGGTTTGTCTAGTTGCAACCAAGACACCAGTCATTTTTTCTCCCACCAGCATGATTGTCAGAAGAAGTCCGGTTGGCCTCGTTTGCGGATTGTTCAGGTCTTTCACGTGGGGATTGCAGTTTGGCTTTTTTACGGTATGCGCGCCAACGTAGGCTGATCAACTGGTAGCCGGCTCGCTTGTCAGGTGATGTCCCTGGATGTTCTGCTGCAGCTGCTCATTCATGATGTTTCGCTGGCCGAGGCAGCGCGGTCGGCAAGCTTCCAGTTTGAGTCCTCTGGGTTTTGGTTAGCCTGCGC